TGCTGGAGAAAGTATTCCAGCAAAATGCTTGGTAGGTGAGAGAAAGAATGACCACAGAAGAGACAATTGCAGTAATATAGGCTAGGGATTATCCAGATGAGGCCCAAAGGTTCAGATGAATAGACAAGAAAGGCTTTACTTTGCACAGTTGTAAAGGGTATGTTAAACATGTTTCATTTGAGATAAGAAAGCATCTGAGAGGAAACACAGGAAAAACAGAAGTGTAATACTGAATACAGGGGAAAGGAGCTCAGTAGACCAGTAAAATTGGTCACCCAATTACAGATCAGAAATTACAGAAAGATAAGATTGTTCAGGGACAGGGGGGAAAAACTGAAAGCAAAGAACAAAGAAGCATGAGAAACACTGACAGAAAAAAGGAGAAAATTTTTCCCCTAATGGAAACTATGCCTGAAACAGAGAGGTTACTTACCTGTAACTCTGGTTCTTCGAGTGGTCATCTGTGAATGCACACTATAGGGTTTAAGCTGCACTTGCACAGAGGTTTCCAGAATATTCTAGAGCTTTATCAACCATTCACCAGGACCACCCCCCTAGTACACGTGGTCCGCCCATCCTCAGTTCCTAAGAACAGCCTGCTGCTATAGTAACTTAAACAAACATGACGGACAAAGGGAAAGACGGGCAGGAAGTGTGAATTCACAGATGACCATTTGAAGAACCAGAGTTACAGATAAGTAAGCTCTGTTTCTTTTTCATGGTCTCTGTGAATGTACACTATAGGATGATTAACAAGCTGACTTACCAGAGGAGGGACATCACAGAAGTACAGATGATAACACAGCTCTGCCGAAGGCCGCATCTGTCTTGGCTTTGACATCAAGGCAGTAATGTGTGGCAAAGGTAGACTGAATCGACCAAGTGGCAGCCTACCAAATGTCAAGAATAGGTATACCTCTTTAAAAGGCTGTGGAAGCCACAACAGCTCTCATGGAATGTGCTGTTGGTAGGTAGGTAGGTAGGTGGCTGAGGAGGCCAATTCGAGAGTGACAATCTCTTCCACACTGAAGACAAATCCAATCTGTCCCCTGTCCAGCTCCCTGGTTTTGCTGCTTTTGTGACTTCCTCTTTGCCTCGGCCTGCTGGACAAGGGTCTCTTCAAATTGGGAGAGGCCGTGATGCAATGCCTTCCTCCAGGCTGAACGCTCAGATGTCAGAGTTTCCCATCTGTTGAGATCTATTCCTAAGGCCTTCAGATCCCGCTTGCAGATGTCCTTGTATCGCAGCTGTGGTCTCCCTCTGGGGTGATTTCCCCGCACTAATTCTCCATACAGGAGATCCTTTGGAATCCGACCATCAGCCATTCTCACGACGTGCCCAAGCCAACGTAGACGTCACTGTTTCAGTAATGTATGCATGCTAAAAATTCCAGCTCGTTCTAGGACTACTCTATTTGGAACTTTGTCCTGCCAGGTGATACCAAAAATCCGTCGGAGGCAATGCATATGGAAGGTGTTCAGCTTCCTCTCCTGCCGTGCACAAAGGGTCCAGGACTCGCTGCAGTACAGGAGTGTGCTTAGGACACAGGCTCTATAGAACTGGATCTTGGTATATGCCGTCAGCTTCTTATTAAGCCATACTCTCTTTGTGAGTCTAGAGAACATGGTAGCTGCTTTGCCAATGCATTTATCCAGCTTGACATCTAGAGAGAGGGTGTCAGAGATTGTTGAGCCAAGGTACACAAAGTCATGAACAACCTCCAATTCTTGTGTGGAGATGGTAATAGAGGGAGGTGAATCCATGCCCTGGCCCATGACTTGTGTTTTTTTCAGGCTGATTGTTAGTCCAAAGTCCTGGCAGGCCTTGCTGAAATGTGCTGTTACAGAGGATGGTATCGGCTTGTGAGAGAGTTGATAAGCAAGGTGTATGGTCGTGACAATCCATCGAGAGATGGTTTGAGAAGAGACCTGTGCGCCTCTGTGAGAAGCATGTGAAGTGACAAAGAGCCTATTAGATTTGGGAAAGGTAGTTCTGGAGACATAAAACGCCAGAGCTCATCTAACATTGAGCGAGTGTTCATGGTTGTTAGATGGTGATGGGAAGAAAGTAGGCAAAACAATAGGTTGCTTGAGATGAAATTTGGAGACAACTTTTGGGAGGAAAGAGACATCTGGGTAAAGAGTAACTTTGTCAGGGTGGAACTGAAAGTAGGGTGGGTCGACCTGAAGGGCAGCAAGCTCAGACACTCTGTGAGCAGAGGTAATGGTGACAAGGAACAAGGTCTTAAATGAAAGAAGACATTCAGATGTAGTTGAAAGCAGTTCAAATGGAAATAATGTAAGATGGCCTAAAATGGTGTGTAGTGACCACTGTGATGGTAAAGGAGGACAGATATATTGGATATACAGTGGTGCCTCGCATAACGAGCGCCTCGTATAGCGACGAATCCGCATAGCGAGCCCTTTTCCAGGATCGCTAATGCGGAGGCATCGCGTCCGCCCCAATGGGTGAAAATCGCGAAGATCGGTAAGCGTTTTGCTTACCGATCTTTCCTTTGCGACACCAGAAAATCAGCTGTTCAGCAGCTCCAAAATGGCCGCGCACAGCGTTTTCGCGCCCTCCCCTCGCTTACCGAGGGCACGAAAATGGCTGCCGGACCCATGAAACTTCGCTAAATGGTGAGTTTTCAGCCGATTTGGCTTTTTACTTTCCGTTTAACGAAGTTTTCACATAGCGAAGGTTAATCCGGAACGGATTAACCTCGCTATGCGAGGCACCACTGTATTGGATATATTCCCCTGAGGAACCACTTGAGAATAGGGTGCCAAAATAGCATGGCAGCATCTGAGTCCTTTGGTTGATATGCCATGATGGCCGAGATATAAACCTTGAGGGTAGAGAGTGAAAGGTCACGATTGAAGAGATGTGAAAGGAGGATTAGAAGTGCACGAAGAGTTGTTGGTGTAATAGGTGGATTATGGTGCATTGCAAATTTCTGAAAAGCAGCCCATCTGTAGACATAAAGTCTTGTGGTGGCAGGTTTACGAGCACTAGCTAGGATAATAGCTACGGAGGGTGAATTCTCCATGCTGTGAGGTGAAGAGTGTGGAGATTGGGATGGCATGTGTTCCCTTGATGTTGAGTGAGGAGGTGAGTGAGGAGGGGGAGGCAGTGGAGATGGACCGGAGCATAATGAACCATGGTTATCTGGGCCACCATGGGGCAATGAGGATGGAATCTGAGCGATCTTGGCGGAGTTTGACGATGGTTCTGAGAAGGAGAGGTATGGGAGGAAAGAGGTAGATATTCCCATGTGAGCTGCAAAAGCATCACTATGCACCTTGCTTAAGATCTAGCCTCTATATTTTTCAGGCACAATCAGTTGTTTAAAATTTCAATTTCCACCCCTCTGAATTGCTAACAAAACTTCTCTATATAACAGAATGTTATCTATTATATCTCTCTCTGGGCATTCAGGTGTTAATAAAGAGGGAGTTACCTTAGCTTTCTCAAAGAACTGCATAAGGGTGGTATCCTCCTTCTGTTCCTTATCAAATGATGAATTAGTGGGGGTTTTCATAAATATAACTTCTGCCATTTCATCCATGTCAGAGTTTTCTTTTAAACTGGGGCTTTGGAGGTTACTTTCAGAAGTTAGGGATTCCATTTTTCCCTCAGGGATTGTTAACTGCTCTCCTCGGGAACATGTTACTACAAAAGCACTCTGCACAAGCTTAGTGAGATCTAATCCGTTCAAACAAGGTGCAGGTATTTGATCAGAAATTGCTACATCCCAAATTCCAACTCAGTCTCTATAGTTTACTTTAGCCATAGGTAAAATCACTGGCATAGAACTTATTCCCTTGATGATAACAGTTTGATTTGGAAGTATTTGTTCTTTAGGAACCACATCAAGATGACATAGGGTTAGAGGTCTCATTAAAATGAATTTTCTCTCCAGAGTTCTGTAGTAAAATATTATCTGCCTTTATAAGAAAGCACTGAACGACTCTGGCTTGTGGCAGATCAGAATTTTCTGTTGTGCTAGTTGCCATGGAGACAGAACCATTGTTACAGCCTCCTTCAGTGGCTTCCATTGGTTTTATGCAGTAAACCTTTTTGGTTATCATCTTTTCCATTTTTATTTTTATTGTTCTTTATACAATTTGATTGAATATGCCCAAACTCGCTGCAGTTATAACACTGTAAATCCTTCAATCATACTAAGGAGATCTGTTAAACTTTTCCTCAGGGTTCATTCGCTTCAGCGGACTAGGCCCTGGCAACTTAGGTGAGATACTAAGCTGGCCATCTTTCCCTGACATTTTACTGTTGTAATTTTTATTGAATTGTTTCTTACTGTTGTCCCAGTTCTGCCTGTAAAATTGTACCTCAGAAAACTTAGGATCTCTAATCTCACTAATGGAATCAGCATATTCAGACACTTGTAATACATTTTTAGGATTTCTGTCTTTGACCAATTCCCCAGGCAATATGGAATATTGTTCTCAACCAATCACATTTTTTCATTTGGTCTAGAGAAGTGAAATTTTCACGTTCCATCCATTTGTTCAAACACTGAATCAATTTAGTCCCCAACCGGGTACAGTATAAGGTTCTTCAGGCTTTTTGATAAGGGAACGAAATTTTCTTCTAAGGTGTTCTGCATTTATGCCAAATCTAGAATACGCTATTTTTCTATATGCCTCAAAATCTCTAGCTTGCTCTAGAGGCATCTGAGAATAAAGATCAGCTAAATCTCCACTTATTTGTGTTCTCAAAACTAACATCCTTTCATCCTTAATCTCAAAGTTTTAGCATGCTCTATCAAATGAAATCAGGAAAGATTCAGCACAATCTCCTTTCCTATATTGGAAAAATTTCTTTAGATCGATTTTTGAGAGATTTCCCTCACTAGAGTTGTTACTATTATTGTTATTTTGAGCAGCTAATTCTATTTTTTAAAATCTGTATTTGAAATTCCATTTGTCTGTTTTCTTGCTCAAATTCCCTTTCTTTTTCTCTCTGCCTTAATTCCAGCTCGCTTTCTCTTAATTCCATCTGTCTGGCCTCAGTCTTCTCCTTAAGCTCTATTTTCCTAGCTCTTTCTTCAACCCTCGCTTTCTCTCTGATCTCCAATTCTTTAAGCCTGAATTCCTGTTATGACCTCCATTTTTCAAAATCTTGGGTGCTTAGGACACCTTGTTTTTCTGAGGCACCCTCACCAGTCTCCTCCTATTCCACTGGAGCTAGAGGGTCTCAATTTCCCTCCACTTCCTGAGGTAACATTTTGCCTCCTGACTCTCTTTTTGGCTATGTTTGGGTGGCATGTTTAAGTCTGAGTGAATTAGTCTTTAATTTCTGTCCTGCTTTTTAAAAAGACATGTCTTTCTGCTGTTTATTCCAGTAACTTGTTGCGCTTTACTCAGCAGTTCTCTAGCTCACAACCTTTTAGTTACTGTGTATGTCTGAGCTATTCTTGCTCTCAGACACCAAAATAATTTTATTTTCAAGCCTCTAATTTTATTTTCCTATCACCTCAGATCTGCTCTGACCCTGTCTTCCGCTCTTATCAAACACTGCTCCCTTATCTCTCACAGCCTTGGATTTCAAGCTAGCCTACTGGGCCTCAAATCCTGAGATAAACAAAAAAAAGAAGAATTTTTTCCTTTAGAGTTGGTTCCCTATCTTTTGTTCCCCCAGATCTGGGTTCAGAAGCCCCACCACTAAGATCCTCCACAAAAGCTCCAGCAGGTCACCCACTTCTTTACCACAGTCCTCTGACTAAAAGGTACACGCAACTCCAGAAAATTCACTTTTAAACTTTGGCTTTATTGGATTATTTTGTCCCCCCCCCCCGCGCTGGACACCAATTGTGGCATTTACTCTGTGGCCCCTGCTTGTTTCACCAAACACAGAGGTCACACGAGTATCCCAACATGCCATTTAACACGCTTCCACCAGCTGATCTCTTTATCAACCTATATTTCCTATGAAAGACTAAGGTCCATTCTGTACTGAACTTTTAAACAGAAACAGGTTTTGTTTTCGGAATAGTTCTTAAGCACATTCTTAAAGTTACACAAAGTTTCAGTATTTTTATTTTAACCTCTTCTATCTTAATACAGGTCACACTCTGACTAATCACTCCTTAAACACTCTCTCTGCCTCAAACCCCCAATTTTTTTTTTCCAGCTCTCTCTGACTAAACTAACAGATTCTGACTCACACCTCCCTTCTAGTTTCTGTGGCTCCACCTCCCAATGCTCTCATTGGTACATACAAATAATCTTCTACCTGGGCCAAAGCAGGGTGATCGCTACACATGTCGAGGCAGAAAGGATGAGGAAGATGTTGGTAAGTAGCTTTATCTTTTAGGAAGAGGTTTGTATTGTTGGTAAGGGTAAGTGTGAAGCCATTGGTATCATTGAGATTGATAATAAGGCTGTGTATTGTATGAACATACTGTTTTTCTCATTTTTTTGTAGGTTGTCTAATATTTCGTCTGTCTTTTTTGGTGAAAAGGCTGACTCCATCAAATGGTAAGTCTTCAGTGTGAAGACATGGGTCTTCAGAAATATTGGCTGAGCGGAGCCATGTGTGTCTGTGAAGTGCAATAGCAGTGGCCATGTGTTTGGATGTAGCCTCTATAACATGACAAGCAGTGATGCATTCTCGATGAGCTGCAACCATGGCCTCTTGGTGGAAGCAAGGCCACGGGCTTTGTATTCTTCAGGTGTGGACTGGAGGGCTTGGAGAGCTTTATTCCATAGATGACAGTGATATGCTCCCATGGCAGCTAGGTAGTTGGCAGCATGAAGTGTAAAAGAGGCGAGAGTAGACTCTACAGCCAATGATGTCAAACTTCATGCCCTCTTTGTTACTGGGAGTTGCATTAGAGTGATAGTGAGCTCTATTTTGCATGGCATCGACTATAACTGAGTTGGGAGGTGGATGTTTGGAGAGAAAGGACACAATATCTCCATGTGTTTTATGCAAGTTCGTGATACATCTGGAAATTTGCAGGACAGAGGAAGTTTTTGACCATGATTGTTTGATCAGTTTCAGAAGAGAAGGGATAAATCCCATATGGAGCGGAGGGGTTTGATCTTGATTGATACCCTCATAAACCTTGTCTGATTCTGTAGGGATTGGTTGTTGAACATATAGGTCCATAACCTTTGCAATACGGAGAATGAATTGTGAATAGGAGGAGAAATCCTCAGATGGGGACAGAGGATTGGTATCAGCTACATCTGAATCAGGAGTAGGTAGATTGGGTGGAGACTCCTGTGGTGGAGAGGAGTCAAGAGTTTCACTACCAGAGAGTTGAAGAAGTTGATAGGCTGCAGGCAGAGAAGACTGTCGGTATGGAGAGCTGGCAGTATGAGGATGTAGAGATGAGGGAGGATAATGTTGAGATTTGCTGGTACTGTGTTTGGAATGAGCAGTAGGTAGTTTGAGTTAGCGAGTGCTGGTATTATTGAGAGGAGAAAGTGATGGTCCGGTATAGGTGGTAGTTACCTGTAGAGGAATACACGTGGGAGAGCATGGTCGGTTCAGTGGTCAGCAACGTTGATGGGTGAGGTTGCTTCGGTACAGTGGGTGGTTGATCTCGAAGTCTTAGATTTTGAGGAGGGCTTAGATTTTGAGGAAGCCTGTTCAAAATCATAGAGATGGATGGTTTGTTGGAAGAGGCAGCAGCCAGAGGCTGAGAAATCGGTGTGGCCTGCATCAAAGGTGGTAGCGGACAGAGGGAATGATTCAAAAGGAAAGATCCAAGGCGCTGTTGTCTAAGTTTGAGAGCTTGTTTCTTGAGATTTCTGCAGGCTTGACACAATGAGGGTTGGTGTGATTCCCCGAGGCAAAAAAGACAGGAGTCACGTCCGCCAGAGAGGGGAATTTTGTTAGGGCATGAGGTGCACTGTTTGAATGGCCCTGTAGGGGGCCATAAAATGGCGGGAAGGGGAGAATGGGAAAGGGAGGGGGCAGTAGATAAAGGGAAGAACAGTTTGGACAGTCTCTTACTGATTTCCCTCTAACTTTGTTTTCTCAGAAAACAAGTAGAAGCAAGGCGAATGGAGAGCTCGTCATGAGATGAAATCTTAGCGGTGGCAAAAAGGAACTGAGGGGATCGCCAGAAGGGGAGAACCATGTGTACTAGTGGGGTGGTCCTGGTGAGCACGTGATAAAGCTCTAGAATAATCCGGAAACCTCTGTGCAAGCGCAGATTAAACCCTATAGTGTGTATTCACAGAGACCACAAAGAAGAACCTGTTGCTCTAATCATATCAAGAAGGGATTGCTATTCATGAAGCACTTCCACAGACACATTACACAACAGACAGCTACGTAGGCTTTCTCAGTCAAAGTGAGTCAAACAAATTTGCTTCCTCCTTGCCAGGTTGCCCTTCTGAGTCTCATCCTTTTGTTAGTGCTCCTGCAAAGCTAATTAGAAGTGAGAGAAGATGGAATCTAAATATGATAGGAGTGAAAGTGAACATACCTGTTTGAATCTTCACTCTGTGCAGTTTTGATGTGAACTGATCATTCACTGTAAATATATGTCCATTTTCTATTTCTTTTGATTTTGGCTCTTTTGTGAGTACCCGCTGTGTTGGCTTTCCACATGCAAGGGATTGTAGCGCTCGTACAAGCTCTCGTTCGGGGATATCCGTCTCCTGCTGTATTTCCTATATTAAGTTGAAACACTTATTTTTACTTTGCAAAGGAGGCTTTGAAGGAAAATTCAATAATGAAAAGCTTTGGATATGTCTTTCCACACTATTCAATCATGTCCAGGACTGTTGATTCACATTTAAAATATAACAATCAATTCAAATGCAGTAGGAATTTTAGTTTATTTGGTATAAACTTTTGTTGACTGCAGTCCACTTCAACAAATAAACGAGAATACAGTGGTGCCCCGCTAGACGCTTATCCCGCATGACGTCGAAATCGCTTGACGATGATTTTTGCGATCGCTATTGCGATTGCAAAACGATGGTTCCAATGGGGGAAATCCGCTTTACGTTGATTAGGAGCTTGCTTCACGAACCGTTTGTTTGCAAAACGATGTATTTCCGGCTCCACAAAATGGCTTCCCTCCCTTCTCAAAATGGCTGATTTCCGGATGGAAGCTTCGCATTACAGGGAATTAGAACAGCTGATCAGTGATTCTCTATGAGCAATCTTTGCTGGACGATCAGGTATTTCCCCCACTGGAACACATTGACCGGTTTTCAATGCATTCCAGTGGGGATTTTTTTTCGCTTGACGACGATTTCGCTTAACAGCGATTTTTCTGGAACGCATTATCATTGTCAACTGGGGCACCACTGTATACTAAATGTTAAGAAAGTGAGTCCTGACTATGCAAGTTATCACCATCATTCAGTCTTTTAAATTAGCGGTCCCCAACTTTTTTGGGACCGTGGACCTGCGCAGCCACCAAGGAAGGCACCCCCCCGCAGGTCCGCGCGCTCTCTCAGGCGCATGCACGAAGCGGTGGGGGAGTGCCTGCTCACCAGCGTGAGCACTCCCCCACCCCTTCGCGCATGCACAGGGGTGCCTGCACACATGCATGGCCACCCCTTTGCTTGTGCACTCAGGCACATGCACGAAGAGGTGGGGGAACGCTCATGCCAGTGCTGGCACGCGCGCAAAGCAGCTGTGGGGAGGGGAGTGCCTGTGGTGGGGAGGTCTGTCTTTGTGGTCTGGTCCGGCTCATGCCACGGACTGGCAATGGGCCACGGACCAGGGGTTGACGGCCTCTGTTTTAAATAATACTGAGGTCTGCTAACTGCTGGTGTACCAAGTCAATAAATACGGGATACCCTGTTTGTTTGTTTGTTTCTTTAGAACAGTAGTACCCAACCTTGGGCCTCCAGATGTTCTTGGACTACAACTCCCAGAAGCCTTCACCACCACCTCTGCTGGCCAGGATTTCTGGGAGCTGAAGTCCAAGAACATCTGGAGGCCCAAGATTGGGGACCACTGCTTTAGAACACATATTCTGCCCTTCATTTTACAAGCCCAGGGCAGAGTAAAATAGTAAAAACAATATAAAAACCATTCAATATTTTAAAACTGTTTAAAAACTATACATAAACCAATAACAATAAGGAGGCTTCCACAGTCTGCTGCCTTAATCCCCAAAGGTCTTGGTGAATAACCATGTTTGAACTTGGTGCTGAAATGAAGTTTTCTGTTGGTGCCAGTTGAGCTAGAGCCAAAAAAGTCCTCCTCTATGTCTCTGCACAGTGGCTCGTTCCACTCTAGCAGATCATAGCAATCAGGCATCTGTGGGAAAAGTGGTCCAAGTTCCAAGCCTTCTAGGGTTGCACAGATTGTCATCAATTTATTTATTTGATTTATACCCCGCCCATCTGGTCTAAAAGATCACTCTAGGCGGCTATACCCTGAACCAAGATTGGAAGTTTACTGACAGCCAGTACAATCCTTTCAGAACCAGTGTCCTATGGGCTGTGAAATGTGTTCTGCTAGCAGTCTAACTCTTCAAAAGAAACCCACTAGCTAGGGAAAAATCAGCTCAAAAATCCTGCCTCTTCATTTTTATATGTAAACTTAAAAATGCAACTCTACTCTCCAGATCCAAATGATCCAGTGGATGGGAAGTAAATGATTTGTATTTGAATCTGGTGCACAGCAGTTACTGTCTATGTAAGAGAAATATTTTTCAGAAAATATATGGAACATATTATAGAAGCAAGAAAGTTGCTTAAATATTGAACTGGATTTCCTTTAAGTTAAATGTAATGGCCAGGATCGACTATATTGCCTTACTGGAGTCACATAAAGGTAATTTATACAAGGGGAGGTACCCATTTACTAGGCTAGTCATCTTCCTCTGGTTCTTCCCCAGACTGTACCATCAACTGTATGGCTGTCTGCATGACTGAATGTGCAGGCAGAAGTCAAGAAACAAAAAACCCTGGTTGCATCACTGCCTTACATGCAAGCTTTTCTTAAACTAGGTTTTGAAAAATTTATTTGTGAAAACAACTTGTTTTTCAATTCACAAAATATTCACATGTGAGATTTTAAAAATAATGTTCACATGGAATTACACCATTCTATCATATGTGGTAAAACTTAACAGCAATATTTTACACTTCATTACAAAGGCAAAAGTAAGCATCTCTCCACCTCATTACATACCAAGTAAAAACTGGTGTACATGACAACAAAGATCATTGAAATATGCTTCTATAACTAAGAGCAACTATTGCAAACAAAAATATCTGGTTTTGTAACACTTTTACGTCACCTAATAATTTAATGCAAATTTAAGCTATTATTTTCAATATGTAAAACAAAATAGGTAATTGATTAAATCCATCTGTACATAAGACCTCCCTTGAATCAAATAGATCTGCAGCACATAAAACATACTTAAGAGCTGAATCCAAGAGTTTTAAGTATGCAATCAATGCTGCTTGCTCAGACTCACTAGCAAAGCATTTCTGAACGAGGATCAATAAGATCAATGGACACTCTACGTTAACAGCCCTCTATACAATGTACAGGAATGTCATATGTGAATGCTCAAAGGGATAATTAAATCCCTCCCCACTGTTGGAAGAAAATAATAAATTCAGGAGATATTTGCAATTTTAAAGATAGCACATAAAGTCACAGCTCCTACCTCAAAAGTGTATTTTTCTCTGTTGTTAAAGAGCATTAGTATCGTCATCTGGAAAGTGGAGACTTGCAATATGTGCTTCCTTGTGTTAGACCCAGTTACTTGGGCACCTCCTACACCAACTTCTGAGCCATCTTCCTGTTTTAATTTTAAACAGTCAAAAATTATTCTAGGAACATTGTGTTTTGCCCTTGGTTAATCTTTCTATGTACTTGACTGCAACATATTAATCTGCTGTCTGACTCATCTACTTGTAGACTGAAAACAATGATATTTATTTTCAGATATTTATCTGAATTTTCTTCCTCCAGAGGTTAAACATTTAGTTTTGTCTTCAGAAACAAAATAGTTTATAATCCTAATTTGTATTTTGTTTGTTTGTTTCCAAAGGTTGGCTGAAGATATGAGTGAGACAAATTTGGAACAGCAGAAATACAAAAACCAAAAGTCACAGACAGATTCTGGACTACACTATAAAGTAATATTTACTGGAACTATGAAGCAGGATGATAGGGTAAGAAAGAAAAATGATAAATACAAATGAATCATGACTATTAAGAGAAAACTAACAAGAGATCTGAGACCCTACATTACATCAATGTGTACCACATGCTCACATTTACCATATTATTTAAGCTTAGTGAATGTCCCAAGATACTACCCTCAAAATTGTTAAATATAGGTTAACACTGGTATTATAAAGATTAGTTTGTTATATGAAAGACAAAAATTGTGATCGCCTAGAGTGGTCACAATTGACTAGGCGGGGTATAAATGAAATAAATAAATAAATACATAAATAAATTTGTCACTGAATTAAGTTCAATGTAAATAAATGCACAATTCAAAGGCCCAATGGGTTTATATGTAGGGACAGATTACCCTAACCCTTTGTTTTCCTGTTGTTTAGCAATAATAAGCTACTCTAGAGTAAGCCCACTGAACCAGTAGGGATTTGGGGAGTGAACTCCTCCATAGGTTCTACTGGTTCAAGTGGGCCACTCTAGTTGTGACATACTTTAGTATAGTAAGTTGCAACTACAGTAGGCCCATTTAAATCAATGGAACTTATGAAGCAGCTGACTCGCTAAATCACTGATTCAATAGGACTACTCTAGTGTGACTTACTATGCTAAACAGGATTTCAGCCAATATTACATGCATTTTTTCTACTTCTCTGTCAAATATGCCAGGATTTTCTTTTAATTTATAAAGTCTGAATAAAAAAAGTTCACATTTCTTTGAATATCTGCACTGCATAAGTAAATTATGTACTGTATGATGCTACAGCACTGACTATACATATTTCTATGTATACTTTTCTCCAATATAGAAATATTTATATACATTTTTTAAACTGAAGAACATTACTTTTCTCCATTCATAATAGACAAAACACTTACTTTTTTAACAGGACCATAAAAGGTGGCATTGAGATCTGCAGAACCCATGTGATGCTGGAGTGTCAGCTGTCGTCCACTATGTTTGGCTAAATAAAATCTACAAAATTCAAGAAGTTGAATGGTTATTTGATTGCTCACATTTTAAACTATGTATACAAAACCCTCCATCATTATAAATATTTAGTATTTTGTGACAGATAATATGACAAACAACCATCAACTTTTATAAACAGTTGATGTAAAAATTGTGGACAACTTCAACAAAGTCACAGTACAAATTGAGGACTTTCCAAGTCTTGAAAAACAGTTTGTCCGACATCATTGGAAACAGGTAGTACCAATTGTGCTCTCATGTTACAAACAATTACATGGAAACCAAAGGAATGCCTGAGGCCATCCTGTTCTTCCTCAGCCCTCTTGCATCACTATGTGAAGCAGTCTTCAGAAGTCATTTCAGTGCATCGTCACTAGTTGCAATTGACAGAGGAACTTAAGAGATCCAAATGTGCCTACAGAAGATCTTAACATACATACAATCTTGCCTATTTATAAATCCATTTTTTAAAAATCCAATCTTGGGAAGTATTTTAAAAAGTATTTAAAAATACTTGGGAAGTATTTTAAAAACTATTCCTTACCTCCTAAATATTTCAAAAGCGTGTCTGGGGGCTGGGGGAATGTTGCATTTTGGTGTGGCTGACTGAGTGGGCCAATAGCCCGTTGTGAGAACCCGCACTGTCAGATCAACACCATTTAATGAGACCTGCACAAATAAAGACAAAACCACATTGTATTCTTTTACACCTTCTCAGTCTCCAAACACAAGGAAACATCTAGCTTGTTATTCAAAGGAGACATGGCTACCTTATTACATGTAGCGGCCCAGGAAAATAAACAGATCATGTGAATCACCCCCTGAATTAGATGGCATGAAACAGAATACAGAAGATGGCATGAAACAAAATGGATGTGTGTGTGTGCAAACCAAAAATCCATAGCAAATAAATACTTTTTAGAAAGTTACAGAAGGTCTATCTCTCATAACTAATTATGAATATAAAACAAACAATGAAGGTGAGAACGACTATAAACATTCTTTGCATTAAAACTTTTTTCTAAAAATACAGTCTAAACATGGGCTGGCAGACAGACATCTTATTCATTTATTCCATAGCTCTTCTTGCATTATACAACTGACAATTTGTTTTTCATTAAACAAGCATAAGACTTCATATTTTCCTTCCCATATTCTTTACAATGCTTTTCTTAAGCTTCTAGATGTGACAGTAAAAAATACCTTTTATTTGGAAGAAATTGTGACTTTTATAAAAACAGACTGAAAAAGATTTAATGCTATCATTCACATAACAGAATCAATAATTTCTCAATATAGTATCTTCTTGCTCTTTTCAATCTTAATCTAATCCCAACACTGATAACAAACACTAATACCATGATATAAGAAGGCCCAGCTGCTCATAGTGCTCTATCAATGTTATTAGCCATGATAACTGAATGGATTGTCTAGGTTCAGAGGCTAATATAAACTGTCAGTCATAATTGAGGAACCTGTCAAAAGATGGGGGTCAAGTGCTCCCAAAAGAACTTTTGGCAGGCCACTCATGGACACTTGGCAATGCCAAGAGATAAAGCCACAATGGAGAAGAGCTTCCTGCCCAGATTGTCCAATTTTCTGCCCTCCCTGTCTTGAGAGGACTTGATGATGATGCAAGTTGAGGGTGGGTGTTAAAAAAGAAAGGTACAGACCTGAAGCTCAACATCAAAAAAACTAAGATCATGTCCACTGGCCCCATCACCTCCTGGCAAATAGAAGGAGAAGATATGGAGGCAGTGACAGATTTTACTTTCTTGGGCTCCATGATCATTCCAGACGGTGACAGCAGCCACGAAATTAAAAGACACCTGCTTCTTGAGAGGAAAGCAATGACAAACCTAGACAGCATCTTAAAAAGCAGAGAAATCACCTTGGCAACAAAGGCCCACATAGTCAAAGCTATGGCTTTCCCAGTAGTGATGTATGGAAGTGAGAGCTGGACCATAAAGAAGGCTGACCGCCGAAGAATTGATGCTTTTGAATTGTGGTGCTGGAGGAGACTCTTGAGGGTCCCCTGGACTGCAAAGAGAACAAACCTATCCATTCTGAAGGAAATCAACTCTGAGTGCTCACTGGAAGGACAGATCCTGAAGCTGAGACTCCAATACTTTGGCCATCTCATGAGAAGAGAAGACTCCATGGAAAAGCCCCTGATCTTGGCAAAGTGTGAAGGAAAGAGGAGAAGGGGACGACAGAGGACGAGATGGATGGACAAGTGTTATCGAAGTTACCAACATAAATTTGACTAAACTCCGGGAGGCAGTGGAAGACTGAAAGGCATGGCGTGCTCTGGTCCATGTGGTCACGAAGAGTCGGACATGACTTAACGACTAAACAACAACAACAGACCTGGTATAGCTTTTTGGTTTTCCTGTAGGTGGGGATTATGGAGGAGAGTGTATACCAGGATTTGCTATGTGGAAGAATGATGGTTGTACAAGGATGGCCACCAAAGGTGGGGGATGTGAAGAAGCTGTCTGTGCTGAGGTAGCATGTAGGGACTGTGCATCTGATGCTGGGTTGTCAGGGCTGACTCGAGTTTCAACAGTGGAAAGAAGATTAGTAACAATTTTGAGCAGATGGATAGAGGCTGTGGGGGCGACCTGCTCTGATGCCTAGATAACGTTTTCTAAAAGAAAGCCTGGAGGTGTAGCTGTCAGTTCCAAAGGGCTAGCTTTGGAATATGCGGCCATTTCTCCACCATATGGCCCCCTATGAGACAGAAGAGGTATAATGGCCATCCATATGTGGTATTTTACTTCTGTACTGAGCACACTTCTTACAGAAGACAGTAGAGACAACTGTGTAAGGTGGTCAAAGCCAAGATCAAGTTTATTAAGGGAAAGTTGAGGTTGCACCCAAGATAAGATGTAGAAAGAGTTACCAGGTTGAATGGAAAAATGAAAGAAAAGTAATAAAAGAGCCAAAGTTTCCTAACCAGAATGACTGGATTGGAAGAAATGTTCCAAGATTGCTGACAAAACAGCAAATGAAAATGAACTGAAGGCAAGGTGTACTTATACTGGCAGGTGGGTGGGCAGGAATTCTGCCAAAGGTCCTTTTGTTTTAGCTTTGGAACATGTATGTACAGGACAAACACATATGTGTATTGCACAGAGACCCTGATAAAGAAATATCCATTTAGTAAGGATCAATGTAGATTACTGTAGACCAGTGGTTCTTAACCTTTGTTACTCGGATGTTTTTGAACTGCAACTCCAGAAACCCCAGCCAGCACAGTTGGTGGTGAAGGCTTCTGGGAGTTGCAGTCCAAAATTCCTGAGTAACCCAAGGTTAAGAATCAGTGGATTAGACATATATTTTTGACTCTTCACAGTAACCAGTTGTAGAAGCAGCTGCATGATTCCCATATTGTTTTGTAGAGGGGGTTTAATCTCTTCTCTTACACGTTTTCCAAATGAAAATAGGCCCTCATGGCTCTTATCTGCCCCATTATACAGGTCTCATTCATTCAGACAGATTGTTTTCTATGCATCCTAGAATATAGTATCAGATACAAAAGAGCAAGTTTGTTCAAAAGTGTTAAGATGTGAAGAGTTCTAAAATGTAACTCTGATGACCCAGAGATTCTGATGCCTTTAACAATACATGTATCAGAAAAAAGCTTTAACTGGACACAGTGATCCCTAAAATACTGCTAGATGTTTGATTATTATACTGCTTCCCACCACAAAGGCAGGTTTGTGCCATCTGCTGGTGAAGCAGTTCAGTTAGGAGATTTAAGTTTTCAAATATTCCAGGCACTATTCTATCAAACTGCTAACACACTATAAAATAGGACTTAACTGACAGTTTACTTTGTTATAGGAATACAAGTTAAGGCAGTTTTGAATTAATTTTCCCATAAAACGTAAAATCAGTTCAGCATACTGTATAATATACTTTGCTGTTTTTGAGTGTGCAACAAACTTCTATTACTGACAAGTAACAAAGTACAGTGGTGCCTCGCTTAACGAGGGGTATTG